CTGCTGCGCGGGCGCCGGCCGAGGTGAGATGCCCCGCGCCCCCAGCTTCTCGTGCCTGCCCCGCTGCTCTTTTTGCTCCCTCCTTCTCCTCTTGGCTTCTGGGACATAACCTCGCCTTGTGCAGCGGGGCTCCGGGATTCTCGCCCTTGACGCCAGCTGCGGGTGCAGCCAGCGGCACAGGGGCGGGTGGCCAGGCTGCAGAGCTCTTGGGACGCGGACCCAGATCCCCCTCGGGCTTTCCAGTCCACGGCCCCTGAGTAACCGGAGTTGAAATAGTGAACATTAAAATGCTTTCCCTTTCAATACAATTACTGCAGGGATAGATGATCGACGCAAAGCAAGAGTTCTCTATTTCCCTTCCTGGGCGAGGTAAACCAGCAGTGCGCTCACCTCTCAGGTGAACAAGCTCAGGTTCTGCTCAGGTAAGCCCGAGCAGGCAGTGAAACCAGCCCATTTTAGCCGGTTAGGAGGAGGAGAGAGCCAGCGAGCTCTGTGTCTTACAGGTTCAACAGGCACTAGGTAGGGAAAAGGAATGGAGACTTTCTCATCACTCAAAGTTGGAGAAGCAGGCGTGCAAAGCCAGGCCTCCGGCGATGCACAGCTAAAGCAAGTGAAGGAGATGTGATTTGACAGCAATCTGGACTTCTTGATCCCCTCTTAGAGGAAAGAAATACGAAAAGCGAGTTGGAGAGGGAAGTCTGGGACCAGGTGCAAATGCAGCAGGGAGGAGGTCACTTCCCTGGTTCTCTAAAGGTTATCTTTGAAAGGATGCATGTTATACATCGCTGGACTGTGGGGATCCTTCCACTGCCAGCCACTGCCTTGCCGTTCCAGGAGTCATGGGTTGGTCCCCAGTTCTCTTAGTTTCCCTCTTACTAAGGTAAAGATGGCCAGACCTTGTAGTCGTTTTTCAAAATATGCAGAATTTAAAATCAGAACTGCAAGGATCTTCTAGAGCTCCTAGCCCAGCCCTCTATTAGAGATGGGGAAACAGAGGCTATTATTCTGTTCCTAATCCATTTTTTATTGCCCCTATTTTCTCCTTTTCTGAGACATTGGCAGGGACGGGCATCCTTACTATCAGCAGCTAACAGACCTAAGCCTTCTCCACAGAGCCTACACCTTGACCTATGTAAGGCAAATATTCATCTTTCTCCATTTTGTTTGTTACTGGAAAAAAATAGGATGACAATCTTTATGTACTTTATCAAGGAAGCAGATAATTATAGTTTTAAAAGTTGCTGTGATATGTAAAGATGTGCTTGCTGTATATATTACATGTTATGTTTGTGATGACTTTTGCATCCATGGTGGATCACTTCCTGGGAGGGCTGGGGGGAGAGGGCTGCTGTAAATGAGCAGTAACTATGAAAACAGTAGCTGGTTCCTAAAAAAGGTAAGTCTTGGATTTCATTTCCAAAAGGCATCTCTTCTGGCCAATCAACTGTCTCATAAAAACCCTCTATATTTTTCTAGCAAAAGCATGAAATGTCCCCTTCACTACCTGGAGAGTTGTTAGGCTGCCCTTTTATGTCTTCATTCCCCTTCAGATCTGTTCTTAATACTAAAAAACTAATTTTATTTCCTACAGATGTGGTGGAAGGAGAGAGGGTAAATATGCAGCGTGATTTGCCTTAGTCGTGAGTCCATAAAGATGGTCCTGGGGGAGGTGCACCACATACATAAGCAAAATTTGGAGATAATCTATCCAGATCAATCATATGCAAATGCAACTGGATGTATCTAAAAGCAACAAAAATGTCACACGCCAGAGAAAAACAGAAGTGTCAGTAAATGTATCATCCTTAGCAGAAAATGAATTAGCAGAGCATATGTAAGCAATGATATGATGAAGGGCCAGCCACCAATTTGATGGATGAGAGCAGTTTACTCAGAGAACATTATGAAAGAAGAAAATGTCTTAGAAGACGAGCACAGTTAAGATATCTGCATCAAACAATCATTTGATTATGCTTATAAGTGTGAGGGATCAAATGGCCAAGACTGTATTAAACAGTGTCTTTTCCTACCCAGCAGAGGGAAAAGAAACATGGCACGACTTAGAGCATAATCAGAACTGTTTTACTAGATAACACTGCAGTATAAAGATTTGGGTGAACCTGATCGAAAACTGCAGTTTTTATGAGGTAGAGGATAGTGGCACTGTTTGAGCAAAAAGGAGAAGTGGCCTACATACTACTCCCAATGGTTCTGTATGAAGTCCACATCTAAGAAGATATGGCTTGAGTGTCTCCCAGAGGTGTTCTGTGTTGAAATCTTGGTCCTCAGAGTAGCAGTATTGAGAGGTGGCGAGTTCTTAAGAGGTGGGTCTAGTGGGAAGTGGTTAGGTCATAGGAGCGTTGCCCTGGGGAGGGGTTGGGGTGTTCCCATCTGCCACAAGCCCCATCACCCAAGCCTGAATTGATAGGGCCTCCTAGTTTTGAACTTGCAGTTTCCAAAACTGTGAGTTAAGAAAACTTCTTTATGAATCACCCAGCCTTGGGTATTTTCTTATAGTAACGAAAAAATCAGATTAATGCACTAGTATCCCGGGAAGAAAATTGCATCGCCTCTAATTAACAAATAGGCAAAGGGGAAAGAATAACTCTCCCTTACATTTGGGTTCAGTCACAAGATATTTGATGTTTTCTATACACTTTGGCTTCTGTACTATTCTTACCTTGAGACTGTATTTACATATTTAGAGAAAGAATGACAAAGCACCCTTTTTTAGATTTTTACTTACATGCTTGGAACTGAATTAGACGTAATGGTAATTTCCAGGTAGCTCACGTGAGCTTGGGACTTGAAAGGAATGAGACCCAGTGACCATGGTGAGGCAGCCTGGGGTTCCTGGGGGTGTTCGTCTGGAGTATAAAAATATAAAATTGCATTCTTTAAACAGAAATGCCCTTTCAAACAGAATCTTGAGTAGTAAGATCTGAGTACATGAAAATTTGAAAAGTGTAGCTTTGTCCCTTCTTGAACACAGAAAGCTCAGAGTGTGACTCACCAGACAGCAGTGAGCTTAGCTTGTGGTAAGATGAGAAATTTGTAACTGAGAAGTGTATACAATTGTTCCCTGAAAGGAGAGTTGATCAGATTCTTAAATAAATCAACTCTCTACTGTGGGCTGCATGATGTCTGTGCATTATTCCTGATACTCACGTCCACAGAGGATATAATAAATGACTGTTGTTGATATTATCAGAACTTAAGTAAAATAATAGTACAAACATGAGAGCTCAAGGTCTGATGACTACAAATTGACGGAATTAAGGGGAAAAAGTCAGGATTTGAAGTCAGTCATAGTTGGTTTGAAATCTGCCTCTTTCATCTATTTACTTGGCCCTAGGCAAATTACTCAGCCCTTCCTTGTTTCAGTTTCCTCACTTTAAAATGAAAATAGTAGCTGGGCGTGTTGGCGCATGCCTGTAATCCTAGCACGTGGGAGGCTGAGGCAGGAGGATCGCTGTGAGTTTGAGACCAGCCTGGGCTACATAGTGAGTTCCAGGTCAGTCTCAACTACAGAGTGAGACCCTGTCTCAAAAAAACCAAAAAACCAAAAAACCAAAACAAAGCAAAATGAAATGAAAATAGTACTTGTAATAATAATATCTTTTTTTTTTAAATGTCATTGTGAGGACTAAAGGGTATAATACATTTGCAGTGCTTAGCGTAGTACGTGGTATCAAGAGAGTGTTCTTCTCAGCGTGAACAGATGCTCTTCTTTCCCCCTCCCTCAGCCCCCTTCCACCCCTTACCCGGTCCTGATTCTTCTGTTTTTTCAGAGCTTGAGATCAAACCCAGGGCACTGAGCATGTTAGGTAGGCACTGGACCACTGAGACATACCACCAGCTTGGAAGTTCTCTTCTTTTTACACTTTTTTTTTCTGTTTTTTTGGTACCGGGGATTGAACTTGGGTCCTTGCGCTTGCAAGGCAGGCCACCGAACCACTGAGCTAAATCCCCGGCCCCAGAGGTTCTCTTCTTTAACCCTACTTTTAAAGTATTTAATTTTGCTACATTTAAACATTTTTTTTTTGCATGCATAGTCTTTTACTACAAGATGTTTTCCTGCTTTAGTAAAGATAAACATATAACAATACATATTAATCGCATTTAATATTAATAAAAACTGAAAACATTGAGATATTATAATTTGCTTTTAGTATGATTTAGAAAACCAAATCTATCAAGAAAATAGAATGTAAGCTAGGTGTAGAATGTAAGCTAGGTGACATCTTTGAATAATAATTAGGGACCTAACAAGTAATACTCAAAAAAAAATCTTGTGATACAATTTAACCATCATAAAATTCAGCTGTTTTAAGTATACATTTGAGGACCATTTTAGTACCCCTAAGGAGCTGTGCAGTTATCTAAGCAAAGCAATTTTAGAATGTTTGCTCACCTCTATAAGATCAGTTATATCCATCTGCAGCCAATCCCCATGCCCATTTCTAGTTCCAGGCAACTGCTAACCTTCAAGTCATCATAGATATAATCTTTTCTGGGAACTTCATCTAAATGGAATCATACAAGAGTTGGTTTCTTATAAATAGTTTGTTTGACCTCGCATCGTGTTTCTGGAGTTCATCATGTTATGGCGTTTATCAGCAGCTCACTCTTTTTTGTGGCCAAAGAATATTGCGGTACACAGCTACACTGCATTTTGTGTGACTGTTCCCCAACTGATGTACATTTGGATTCTTCTACTTTGGAGCTAGTGTAAATAATGATGCTAGAAGCATGCAGGTACACGTTTTTATGTAGATGTATATAATTCATTCCTGAGAGTATGTTTCATAATATTATTAAGGTTTATTTAATAAGTATGTCTTATATTAAGTCAAATGCTGAAATGTCTAGCCAGATTAGATGGATAATGATATTGTAAAAATGAGAAATAGCATGTAAAAAGGAATTACAGAGATGTTTAATTTTAAAAGAAATATAAAATTAACATGGATGTAACTTTATTTTTAGGTGCTCCAATATTACCTCAAGGATTATGGTCTGAACAAGAACTTCAATCATGGAATAAGGTAAAGAATTATTCCCACACAAATTGGTGGAAACTATGCTCATTCACGTTATTATGGTTAATGAAATAATAAATTGAGCTTTGGTTTTTTTACATTCTAATAGAATTATAATTTTTATTAAAATAAAACAGGTAAATATGAAGAGAAACAGTTAAATAATTATAATATAATTAAATAATAGAGTAATTATAATAAAAGTGAATGTGGTAAAAAATATACCACTTAAAAGATAGGGTTTCTTAGATGTGGCTTCTTTGTTTTTTAAGATCCAGAAAGAGTCACACATGAAATAGAAAATAACAACAAAAGAAAAGTGAAGGGCCGGGGATTTGGCTCAGTGGGTCTGCCACATGCTTTGCAAGGGCAAAGGCCAGGGTACTGTCCCCAGCACCAAAAAAAAAAAAAAAAGAGAGAGAGAGAGAGAGAAAAGTGTAGAAGGGTGGAAAACGACACACCAAGCAAATATGAATTGAAAAAAAAAATTGGGATAGAAGTCTTAATGTCTAATAAAATAGAATGCAAATAAACAATCATGACAAAAAATAAGGATCTTATATCTGAAAAAAGAAAAACAGACAAGAAGATACAGCCATTATTAACATGTGCTAACAATGCAACCTCAAAATTTATTTCAAAACTGGTAGAGGGAAAAATAAGTAAATTTACAGTTATAGTTGGAAATTTTAATGTCTCTCAAAAACTGGTAAATCAAATAGCTTACAAATAAATATATCAAAGACATAATCATAGTTAATAAATTTGAGCTTTAACAAATTTTATAAAATTTATACTAAACAGTATACCCATTCATCTTGCATATAAAAGATTTACTTTAAAAAAGGGATGGGTAGGGGAAGGGTAATAAGGGAAAAGAAAAAATGTGAGATTAAAAAATGAGAACCAAGACCTGTAATGTAAAGGTAGAAGATCCCAACAATGAATGCAACTGTACTGTATCCCTAAAATGTACCAATAAACTCAATTAAAGCTGAAAAAAAAAACAGAACATGTGTTAGAACAGAAAGGAAGATTCTATAGATTAGAAAGGATTTATTTAAATGCTTTTTAAATAATACAATAAAGAAGAAATGAATAATAAATGTGTAACTTAAATGTCTCATCTGTTTGGAAAATAAGTATCATTTTTGTAAATGACCCTGGGTTTAAAAGGAAATTACATGATATTTAGAATTTAATGACAAAATCATTACATGTGAAAATTTGTAGTCTACAGTTAAAATATTGGCTGGAGAAAATATGTAATATATAAGCTTTTTTCTGCATATATAATTTTCTTTTTCTTCTACATATGTAAGAACATTCTGCCTTCCTAATACGTATATGTATATTATATGTGTGCATATTGTTTATATGTCATATATAAACATATCTATTATATGTATTCTATAACCTGTATGTTTACATTATATATGTACTTATGCTTATGTAAACATGTGTTATATATATATTACACATTTATATATACTGTCTTAGTTGCTGGGACAAATTATTTGACACCCACAAGTTAACGAAGGGTAAGTTTATTTCAGCTCATTGTTTGTAGAGGTTTCAGCTGGCTCCAAGGCAGGGCAGCATGGAAGAGGGGCATGGCAGAAAAGAAACAGTTCACAGCACAACAGACAGGAAGAAGCAAGGCTTCCTTCTTCTTCCCTTTTTATTCCTAGGCTACAGACCTATTGGTTGTGCCACCCACACCAGGGGTGTGTCTTCCTTCTTCAGTAGGTCCATCATTTCAGCCAGAACTGTGCTACACCAGGCAGTGAACTAATCTAGTATCACACACCCATGAGCCAGCTGCTGCTCCCAAAATTCCCTCCTATGAGCACATGAGACTTTGGGGAGACACCTAGATATAAACCATAATATATACATATTGAATCGCTTCTTGGCCTTTTGGCTAAAGTCAAGTGTAGTATATATCATATTCATAGTTCTAAATTTTTCTTCTGTCTCAACAAACCTATATAATATACATATATATAAATGTATATGTATATGTATATAATACATATATACACATATCTATCAAGAAAGAAGAAAATTTAAAAATACACATTTGACTGAAAATAACAGGGAAAATTAAAAGAAATATTAATGAAGTAAATTATAAAAATAAAGGCAGAAATAAATTTTAGTAAGACAACAAATCATCTATATTAACAAGACCATACATTTTTTTTCAAAAAGTTACTAAGCATCAATTAGCAGCACTGATTTTTTAAAACAGAAGAAAACAAAGATAAGCTATAGATTGAAAAAAGGTAGATAACCAAGCAAAAGGGAGAATTTAAAATATTTTCTAAAAGTATGATGGACAATTGACTACAGTGGTGATTGCACAACTCTTTAAATAAACTAAAAGCCATTTAACTGTACACTTCAAATAGAGGAATTATATGGCATGTGGGTTGTACCTCAGTAAAGCGTTAACAAAAAACTAGCATAGACAACTGATTGGCAATATTTTTAAAAATGTAGGTGAAATAAGTAAATTATTAGAAAAATATCTGATGCCAAAAAAATGTAGTAGTAATATAATAAGCACTGAAGAAAACAGTTTTCCTTATATCTTGGCCAAAGCCTGTGTTTTCTATTACCCAGTGTGTGTAAAGCTCCTTACAGTAAATTGCTCTAGCATTCACTTAGTTAAGAACATTCTCTTCTTTTTCTTTCTTGCTAAGAACTCTGTTAATCCTAAATAAAATTTAAACTTAATCAAATGTTATAACTGTGCTAGGGGCTAGCAATATGCTTTTTCTACTTCAGTATGTACTTACAATGAATTACATTGATAAAGTTCTTGCTCTTAAATTATTCAAACTATAAGGAGAGTTCATACAATTTTTAGATATAATATTAATAGAAAAGAATTAATAACGTTTATTTTCAATAGGAAAAGAGTAACATAAAATAGTTTAAAATTCTGAAATCATGAGTTCTACATCTGCAGAATCAACCAACTGTGGAATGAAAATGAGGGGAAAATTGCATCTGTCCTGAGCACATACAGACTTTTTCTCATCATTTCCCTGGACAATACAGTATAAAAACTAATAGTATAGCAGCTATTATGTAGCATTTGCATTATACTGAGAATTATAGGTATCTAAAGATTATTTAAAGAATGCAGGAAGATGTGTATAGATTATATACAAATATTATACCATTTAATGCAAGGAACTGGAGCACCCATGGATTTTGATATCTTTGCAAGTGCTGTTTGCCAATTCCCTACAGATCACGAGAAACAGCTATGTACCATTCATGGTGGCAACCAAAACTATAAATATTTAGTTAATGGAAGCAGAAGTATATAATAAATTTATGGTGAAAATTAAATTCTAATAAATGAAATAGATGATGATGTGAATATATGGAAAGAAGTTTCTTGAATGAAACATCTCCCCAAATTAATCGGTGTAAACCTCATAAATCAATGTAATCAGAGTAGTTGTTTAGGTTTTTAAAGAAAATTTCTAAATTTAAATTCAAGTTGATATGGAAAAATGAAGGTCTGCGAATAGATAAAGGCATTTTAAGTACAAAGAGTTGAAAGTAGGAACTTGCCCTACCAGATTAAGACATACTATAATGTCGCAGTAATAAAAGAAAAAAGGTACTGTAAGGACACAAAACAGAGCCATGAGCTAATTAATTGAGGCTGCAATAGTTGCCACCAGTAATCTTATCCTTTTGGCATTTGCCATCCCCAGGGAACTCTGAGCTCTCCAAACTTAGTTTCTAATCGCAAGACCATAGCTCTGCTGGCCTCATCGTACTTGGGCAACCAGAAGTGCACTCACCATTTGGCAGCAGCCCTAATTGATGCCCCAAAATCATTGAAGGATAAACACTTTAGCTGTCTCGCCCCTCGGGTGGGATGACTGGGATACACTGTCTTCTAGAGCTTCAGGGACAGATTGAGCCCATTACTCATAGTGTTCACCTGCTCACGTAACAGCCTTTACTGTCTTAGTTTTGCTTCACTCTTCTACCAGTGTTTCATGGATCACCTCCCATGTGATCTACCTGCATTCACATCCTTATCTCAAGGTGTGTTTCTGGGCAGAACAAACCTGTCATAAATGTAACCAATAACAAAAGTACCATAAAACTCTGTGAGGAAAAGAAATTAGTTTGGCAAATAAAGGTTGAGGAATTGTCTTACTGTATGGAGAAAAATAAAACTATTACCCTGTACAAAGATAAGATTCAAGAAGACAAAAAACCTAAAAAAGCTGAATTATATATTCAATGTCAATATTGTAAGACAATGTCTTTGAGCTAGGATAAGGGAAATACTTCTTGAATAAAACTGCAAGCATATCAGGAGATGGACGGAGGGAGGAGGGGATGGGGATGAAAAAAGAATTGAGATATGTCATGTATGTGCACCAACTCCCCACAAGGAATGTAACCATGTACTTTGAAAATGTACTAATAAAAATAAAAACTAAAAAAATATAAATCATAAGACCAAAATCACAACGAATGAATTACATTAAGAGTAAGGGTTAAAGGTTATAGCTAGCATGCATGCATCCCTGGATTCAATCAATCCCCAGTATTACCAAAAAAAGAAAATTAAAAATTTCTTTCAAAAAAGGACTCTCAATTGAGAAGCAAGATCTATCATGTGAAGGTACAGGATCCCAATGATGAATGTAACTGTACTGTATCCTTAAAAAGTACCAATAGACTCAATAAGATAAAAAAGGACTCTGGAGAAATATAAGAGCCCTTAAAAGATAGTGATAATATTTGAAACTGGTAAATATAGAATATATAAATATAAATACAGAATAATTAAGACACCTCACCAAGTCTAATGAATAAAGTTAGAAACCTAAAGTAAAAACAGTCAAAAGATAAGAACAGTTTATGATAGAGGTACAAGATCCCAACAATGAATGTAACTGTACTGTATCCCTAAAATGTACCAATAAACTCAATTAAAGCTGAAAAAAAGAACAGTTTACAAAAGAGCAAACCAAACAAGCATCTAAAGAGACGTTTAAATTCATTGTAACAATTGAATGAAAATTAGGAGAAAACAATGTTACCTTCCACCAAATAGACTGGCAAAAAAATAGAAATCTACTCCATGGAAAATGTTAATAAGGATGTGGGTTATACCATCTCTCATGCATTGCTGGTGAGTGTCAACGGGTGGAAACATCTAGAAAGCAACATAGATTTCTCAGTGATCCAGTGTTCCCTCTTCTGATTGTCGAGCCCCCAAAATTCTTCATATGAAGAAAACAGAGCAATCATGTAAAGAGGCTGACAAAGTTTGTTTGTAGTGGAAAGAATTAGAGGGATGACAGCTGTTCATCACTGGAGAGCGGACAGACAATATGTGATAGGTACACATAATAGAGTGCTGTACAGCAGTTAGAAGCAACATGCTAGATGTACACCCAGAACCGTGGATAGATCTCACAGTGTTAAGTGGAAAGAAAGAAAAAGCGTAAGAGAATACCCTAGACAAAAACAGAAAAAAATTGACAAGAATATATATATATATATATATGTACAAAAGGAGGATACACATAAAATACATTGGAATTGTCATCTATGGAAAGATGGAACTAGGTGGAGTGGAAATATTAGAATAATAAATAAATAAAGGATAATAAGAATGTGCTATGAACTGAGAATACTCTGCACCTGAGCACCCCCAACATAAGAAAAAGGACAAGCTCAATTACCAGTGCCAGGTGCTAAGCACTCTTGAATAGTATGGAAATTCACAAAGTCTATTATAAGGATCTCAGTCTTAGTACATGGTAGAAATATAAAACAAGATGAAAAATAACTGAAACAGCAGATATTAATGTATAATACAGAAACATTTATTTTAGCTTGAAGTAATCTGTTTCTGTGGAAAATCTTTGGAAAAGTATTTTAGATGATAATGCTGGAAGAAAACTGAAATAGTTATAAAAGTGCTATAAATTCTTTTACAGACAAAAATATATTTACAGAAGTTAAGCTGCCAAAAACAAATTTTGCATTTCTGTAACCTGAAGGTTTGAAAAATTATGGAGTTCTTCAGACACTAGCAATACATGCTTTTCCAGCCATATACAAAGACCTTACCATTTTCAAATAGATTCACCAATGCACCCACCAGAAATCTCAAAAAGCAGCTAGTGGCACTCAAAACCATTAGAGTCATAAGCTGAATAAAATGAGTAAATGTTTATCCAAATGGCAAGCAGGTGAGCAGTGTTGGCTGTGCCTTTAAAAAAAATGAGAACAAAGACTGGAAAGCTTTGCAATGTCCTCCTAATTTTATAAACTAGGTTTTTAACATTCTAATGTTTTTCTTCAAACAATGTTCATGCACTAATTAATTACATCTTAGGGTCAGTGGGTCTGTGTTCTTGGACACAGGCCTAGTTTGTGGGTGGATGACATTCTCCTTGAGAGTGTGATGTCTTCTGAAAACTCCATACATGACTATTTCAGCAGAACCACTTCCTCTTATCCTATCAATGAAAGAGCATAAGTTGGAGGTGATGTAGTAAGCACTGGTCAAAATTCAGGGAGTAGAAAAAGGTCATCAGTTTTTGTGATCTTGGCTATTTGAGACTGAGGTGGGAGAATCACAAGTTTGATGTCAGCCTGGGCAACATAGCAAGACTGTCTCAAAATAAAAAATAAAAAAGGACTGGGGGTATAACTCAGTGGTAGAATAGCATCAGGTTTGATTCCCAGGACTGAAGAAAAAGAAAACAAAGACATCTTTTTGCTTTCCCCTCTCAATTGACTGCACTTTTCTCTTTTTATTATTTTTTAAATTTCTCACAAATTTAATTTAAAAAGGTATTGATATTTATTCTAGGCGAGTTCTATATAAGATAGGCCCTGCCTCAAGAAGTTTATTACTGTTGTGTGCATGTGTCCTTGTATCCATGATTCTGTGTTTGTATAGCATAGAAAAAGTAGCAGGTAGACACAAGGAATGAGTGGAATGTCCAAATATTCCCCAAATAGTTATGATACATAGAGAAAATGACCAGTTCTCTCTCAGTTAAGGAGAGAAACATGATCTTATGGTTTGCTGTAATGTCTTATACATTCATAATTCTTTAATTAAAGAATCAAATTTGTAGGACATGGTCAACTCAGCAGCCATAAGGAACTTGAGAAATTATGACTGAAAAATAGAAAAATCCCCTCCCTTCAGTTTGGGTTGAGAATAAAAACTAAATTAAATGGGTCACAAAATATTCTGGGACTGCAAGGGACCTCTGAGAACTTATGTCACAGACAAGACTCAACCCAACCCTTCCAGACATGCAAGGATCACCATTTTTTCTGGTTCCATTTAAAAATGCCACCCAAGCAATAAATGCCATAAAAAACTCCATGCATCCAACTCATCGCTCAACTTCTCAACAAAGAATTCTCTTATGAGTGATATAAATCTCTTATACTACAGTTTAAAGCCTCCAAATTTCTCTCTATAGGATGAAAGTTGAGAACAGCTAATTGCTGACTGTAATTCAATGATATTCATTATAAAATAGAACTCTTACCCAATGCTTGTCCAATGCTGGTAGAGAACTAATGGATTGCTTATGTTGTCTTAGTTTTTTCTGTGTTCTATATATCAAGCAATGATCCTGTTAAGTTAGGTGACATTAGATTCCTGTGTAATAAGGAACTGCACAAGAAGCCATTTCTTTGGTCACTTCTCACATTTCTCAGGCTAAATAATAACAGAAGTTCTTAATGTTGGAAGCGACTTTGATCCCTATCCTGAGGACATAAAGTGCTGATGCTAGGACAGAAAATCCCAATTCCAGGACTTCCTGACAGAGTTTAGGGTTTCCTCTCTTCCAAATCCAGAGTCCTAAACTATCATGGAACTTTGCTTATTGTCATGTAGATAATATGACTTCATAAAAATCTTTGTTTTTTTTTTTGGTTTTGTTTTTTGCTATTTTCTACTTCCAGAAAGTAAATGACATTTCTGTCTTCTACAGATAAATGATGTGTGTTCATCTTTTCTGGCCATCGACTCTCAGCCTCAGGTAATTTTAATCAGAAGGGTATGTAGCAATGTGTTTTGTAGTGTTGAAAATTCTCATTTGTCCCTTTGGAAATTTATGAACTCATTAAAATATGTCAACATATTAGATACTATTACATCCTGTGCAGATGATAATACTATAGGCTTGTGTTCTAAAATGATAGAGCTTTTATCTGTAAAGAAAATGGGTTTACAGATAATGAACACAAATTTAGGAAATTATGGAATGTCGAATTAAAATGCTAATTTCAAAATAAAATTCTATGTTAAGTTAAAAATATATCTTTTGCTGATCTGAGGGCTAATATCTTGTCCTCCAGTTGAGTTTGTCAATAAACTTAAGGAAATCAAAGAACCATCATTTTGATTCAAAAGCCCATTTGAATGCAGCTTTAGATCTAATGCCCCACTTGACCATGAATCTCAAACAGTGGTGAGTCAGGTTCTCAAGTACAGGGCAGACACCAGACAAGCACTGCTGACCAGAACACTGGCTTCCTGAGATGAAAGGCTGAACTGGATGTGCCCAATTTCCCCTCCCAATTCACCCATCAGACAGCTCACCCTTCTTTCCATCAGGAGTTAAGAGGATGTTGCAGAGAGGCCAAACATGATAGTCTGGCTCCTCCATACCAAAGCATGAGTGGGAATAAGGGTCTTCTCCTTACATTGTCTTTTCTGGATGCTGCTGGTTCTGCCTGCAGATCTGTATCTGAGAGCAAGGAGAGCTGAGTTAGTCTTAGTGTCTTGTCTTTCTTTTTTTTTAAATTGAGTTTATCGGTACATTTTAGGGATACAGTACAGTTACATTCATTATTGGGAACTTGTACCTCTACATGACAGGTCTTGGTTCTCATTTTTTCCCTTGTCCCTGCCCTCCCTTCACTCCCTCTTCCCCTCCCCATTTACAAGCACTTTATTTCCATCTTTTCATTTTCTCACATTTTTTTCTTTTCCCTTATTACCTTTCCCCTACTCTTCCCACTTTCCCTACACCTTTAGGCCTTTTCTTCCCATTTCACATTGTCATTTATCTCATTAGGATCTTATGCACTATTATAGTTTATTCACACCAGAGAAACTATTTGGTATTTACACATGTGTGACTTATTTATTTCACTTAGGAGTATATTCTCAGTATGTATCCTTGTCTTGTCTTTCTTAATCAGCACCCCTAGTCCCCTGGATGAGACTGGTGGATGCCTGGTGCGTGCTTCCTCCACAGTCCTGCCAGGGGCTCAGGCCGTCTGTCACTAAGACAGCCCTCCAGAAGGTTGTCCTGGCTGGGGTGCAGACTCAGCCTTGTGTACATGGTACTATATTTCACCTGCCTCAACCCATTTTCCAGGCTGCAGATGATCCCCTGAAGGAAGCCAGAGGAGGTCGGTGACAAAGCAAGACCAGGATCACATCTGATGACATTTTGAACACTATTTCATATTACTTGGGCTGGAGATTTAGCTCAGAGGTGCCAGCACCTGCCTGGCAAGCTCAAGGTCCTGAGTTTGATCCCTGGTTCCACACAAAAAAAAAAAAAAAAAGAGAGAGAGAGAGAAAGAAAGAAACTATTTCCTATTACTTGAGGAGTGTTGATATGTACATTAGCACATAACCTTTTGTGTTGTGTTTAACATTTAGGAGCACCTTCAGAATCATTTTTATATCTGTAGTACCAGGAGGATAGACTTTAATGCACTCATTTAAACCCCATCAAGATAAATTAGAGTTTTGTTGGATCCCAGTTCTGTGTAACCTTTAAGAGCTCAGTAAGTTTAATATTTGAGTTCTTTATACTTATAATGCAATTTGTAATACACTCTGATATATTTTTAAAACATTATTTTCCATTAACTACTATTTTATTATTTATGTGATTATCTGAACAGTATTTCAAAAAATTTCTCCTAAATAGAAAACAATGGATTTTGAAAGCCCACAAATAAAAATAAAATATTAAAAAGCCATATATGAAAAACCTCTAAATAATTGTTAAAATTAATGGCTTCTTACAAAGAGGAAATAGGCAGAAAAAATACATTTGTTTCAAAACTTGTCAAAGCTCAATGTAATTGCCAGGCCTCATCCAGCTTTCTATATGTAAGTTTATTTTTCAAATTGAGGTGCATCTTTGATATGTGACATGATTATATATTTTCTTTTTATTATTTTTAACATTTGTACATGGGCCACAAAAACAGTTTTAATGATTTTCTTTCCAGATTTTTATTGGGTGACCTGAACGAAAACAAGTGTAAAGGATGCATCAATGTTCAGACTACATTTTCTTGTTCGTTTCCCAGCTGCATGAGCTGGGAATGTAGCTCAGTGGCAGAGAACTTGGCTAGCATGCATGGGAACCTGGGTTCAGTTCACAGCACTGACTTCAAAAACAAAACAAAAACAAAAACTCCAAAGAAACAAAATCAGCCAGGTGTGATGGCACACTCCAGTAATCCCAGGACTCTGGGAGGCTGAGGCAGGAAAATTGCCAAATTTGAACACAGTGATTTAATAAAAACTTGTCTAAATTTTTTAAATTTTAAAAGGCTAGGAATATAGTTTAGTGCAAAGGCTCTGGTTTTAATCCCCAGTAACACACACATACACACACACACACACACACACACACACACACGCACGCACATTAACTACAGGCTTAATAGGCAATGCCAGTGTGAACCAAGACTTTTCTCCTAGGATACACTCTACCAACCACTAGCCCTGTATGAAACTGGACAAATGACAGTCTCTTAGAACTGTCTCTAAGCACAAGAATAGCAATCCCTGAGGGCTGGTGATTTTGGCTCTGTGGTTCTGCTGCCTGCCTCGCAAGCTCAAGGTCCAGAGTTTGATCCCAGGTACCAAAAAAACAAAATACAAAGAATAGCAATTCCTGCCCTGTTTGTAGCCCCACACTTGTGTTTTAAAGAAAGAATGGAAATTATGCATATGAAAGCCTTCTGTAACTTATTGAAACACCATATAAACAGGAGCTATCTCATGCTGTTAATAAATATCCCAACAATTTACATGGTGTAGACAAATGGAGAGAGAGCAAAAGCAGACCTCTGATGCTAGGAAGGATGCACAGAGCCACTGTGTCGCTATTCCAACGTGTCTCTCCCAATCAGCCATGCACTGGTTTCCAAAGGTTGAGGATACTGGTGGCCTTCACAGATCTTCTAAATTAAGAGTACCTGAAGCTGTCAATCAAACTGAAGGACTTTATCTCCCTTTAGTTCTTCCAGGAATGCCTTGCAGTGATGTCACCCCTGATAGCTGGCTCAATAAATTGAAGTTTAGAAAGATTAGGTCACCAGCCTATGGTAACACAGCTAAAAAAGAGTGGAAATGGAATTGCACTGCTATAAACTTGCTGCCCACCACACAGCCCATCTTTTAACCACTAACTCTATCCTCCCACACCTATGCCTGCTCTTCATTACTTTCAAAATCAACTGTGGTACCACCGGGCTAGATCCTGTGTGATGCAGGTTTTGCCTCTGCTTGTCCTTTTATGCTGTTCCTTACCACACCCGGCTGTCTGCTAACCACAAGGAGCCCTGCCCTACTTCTGTGCTCAAATGCTTTGACAAACCTGATCCTGGGGTGTGCAGTCAGCAAGCTGAAAGGGTGGTACTCGGATTAAGTACACCATGCATGGCTTCTTCTCCTCCAATTCCTATTGTTTGGGAGCAGTTGCAGGATTTTCAAATTAGCCAGTAATGAGTAATATTCCACTAGGCTCATGGCTTTGGCATGTAGGTGCACCTTTCTACAAGCTGGGAAGACTAATCCCTATCTGGCACTGCCTTGGTTACTCTTAGTCATAGAGTTTTAGGATGTCGTAGCAAGTGGTGAGAACTATGTAACTGGACCACAGTGGAAGCTTTAATCAGTGCACATATGCATGGTGCATAGCTTTCCCCATCGTGCTTGGAAGGAAGGTTTTACTTTCTAGCAGCTAAGGTTTTTTTTTTTTTATGAGAGAAATCAAGGAGTTCCAATAGAGTTTCAGTGTTCCACAGGTCCACAGAAAGGGTCCTTTCCTGGGTAGCTAGAACATCCTGTGCTCCTAACATTCTGAGTTACAGCTTCTATGCAGATACTGTGCAAGTAGACCACAGCCCATATATCTTCTTATTTTTGTTAGGCATCTACTGCACTGAGGGACCTTTGCTTTATGGCGATGGGGATTTTACCAAAGCCTCAGGTAAGGTTGAAATCATATTTTGTTTGTAGACTCCCCCCAAAAAAATCCCCTAAAACTTCTTGGAATTCCCCCTGGAAGAAAAATGCTCTACTTGGGCCAGGGGGTTTAGCTCAGTGGTTCTGTCACCTGCCTCACAAGTGCAAGGACCCACGTCCGATCCCCGGTAACAAAAAAAGAAAAATGCTCTACTTGGAAAACATGCCAAGAAGAACTAAAAGAGGACACGATGACTTTTGGATAAAAAACAAATACTTCACCTTCTCTGGTGTCTGGTAATTTAGGGTCATATGAATGGAGTTTATGTTCACCGGAATGGGAAATCATAAGTCTACTTCAAGTATAAAATGTGTTCCAGTCTGATGGGAGGAAGTTGTGGCTCTGTTTTTCTCACTGATCCATACCACAGCTGGAGACCATATGCATCTTTCTAAACTACTAATCTTACGTCTTGGAGGTTAGAGCACAATGCATTGTCAAAGTAGGACATTAAGAAGGCCAAAACAGCTGGAAGTTTAACTCTGGTAGTGCACTTGTTTAGCATGGATGAGGCTCTGAGTTTGATCCCCAACACCAGGAAAAAACAGCAAAAATAAGATATCAAACTGTATTATCGATATCAATTTGAAAATTATAGTTACTTTTATGTTTGTTACTTTTATGATTTTTTATATTGTCTTATTCATTTGATTCTTCCAGAAAACTTTTTGTTCTAGATAAAGATAAATAGCAACCTGAATAATGGCATAAGTACCATATCTTATTTTCTCTTCTGTATTTTAGTACTTTATGGATAAATTTATTTTCAAACTACCATACTCAGAGCCTTGGGTTACCTCTGAGCATGGGTACACTAACCACTGTACATTCCACATGCAATAATTCAAAGAAAGAAACATTGGTAGTGTGAAAGCATAACTGTTTTCTGAAGCTTTAGCTATAACTGTATATTTATCTATTTTTTTCTAATGGTGACATGTTCCAAAAATTTTAATTGACTTTTTTCTAATTAAGATAAACAACAGTGGAATTTATCTCATTTCCTTTTGTATTACTACCAAATGAAGCCTGGTGTGTGGTCGTGCATGCCTGTAAACTCAACACTTAGAAGGCTGAGGCAGGAGGATTGTGGCAAATTTGAGGATAGTCTGGGCTACAAATGCATTGAAGACCAGCCTGAACTATATATTGAGACCCTGCCTCAAAAAATAAAATAAGAACAAGAACAAATAAAACAACAAAAAAGTGAATAATCTACTCTTAGGAAAACTGGTCTTAGGAAGGAGAGAATATAGAAAAGCTTATGGAAGACAGCAATAATCACTCATAATCTTATGTTTAGAGATAACAATTTCAAATATTTTGATATGATTCATTCAGTCTTTTTCTCTACATGGTCTCTCAAGTATTTATACTATAATTTCCCATTCCATCATTGTGGAACATTTAAGATGTTTCCAAATTATTATTCTTATGAATAATATAGTAAGGATCACATCCATATTTATTTTACATCTTTAATTGTAAACAGTAAATTCCCATTAATTTTTAGAGCAACAAACACTTAACCAATTTTAGTTTTTAACATCTTATGTAACATATAGCATGTGTATTTACAAAATTACATGATATAATTTTATAAAATATAATAAATTTTAAACTACACAATAGTTTTAAACAATATAATATGTGATATATATCTTTTCAATAGGAACAAGATGAAAAAGATAATACTAAAAGGGTAAGATAATTTTCATAAATACCTACATTAAAATAATAAAGGAAACCACTAGTCCTTTATGATCTAACTCACTTCTTTTTTTTGGTAACAGTTCTTATTTCATTATTCAAAGACACAGAAGTTGGGCAATTCAAATGTTGTGGTAAGTTATAAACTGCTTATTAGTAATTACTAGTATTTGTGTAAAAAAATGTGTCTTTGAAGTTTAATATAACTAGATCAAAATTCAGTGTTTTTACATTAATGTTTACATGTAGACAAACAAATGGAAATTAATATTACTATATATTTAACTTATTTTTATGTTAATAAGTACGTGAATTAAATTAATTCATTCAACAGTTATTTACTGAGTATCTACTACGTGTTAAGAACAATTCTAAGTACTGGACATATGGCAGTAAATAAAACAAAATTTAAGAAAGAAACCCCTGTCCTCATTAAGTTTTCATTATAAGGCAAACAAATAAAAACAATAAATGAACAGAGAAATAAGTAAAATACATTGTTTTGGGTGGCAAATAGTGCAAGGGAAAAATAGTTTTATCCAAAAGTCTTTTAAGAATTGCTTTAAGAAATGATTATCAAAAATTTAAATCTAACTATAAATATCCTCCTTCTATTCCTAAGATCTTTATTCCTTATCAGTAATTAGGAAGTTAATGTGAGAATTTACTCATCTGGCTTTAGTGGTAGTTTCTCTTTTTATATGTATAGGTTTTTAAAATGCTAGATGGGGCTGAGGGTATACGTTAGTGGCAGAGCATTTGCCTTGTATAAGCGAGGTCCTGTGTTCGATGCCAGCACCAGAGGAAAAACATTTAAAACGCTAACCAATCTACCCTGGTGTTTCAATCTAGAATGCTTAGTAATTATGTATTCACTGTTCTTTCTAAGCTGTGATTCATTAGTACAAAACAATTTAGGGAATATGGGGCACAGTGTATTTTAAATGTATAGATATGGAAAGATAAACTTGGTTTTTAAATGTTCATCACATGAAGTCTCTTGCCACTGTTCAAGGTAAACCAGCAGCTCTTTCCCCCAATAAAGCCTTGCCTTAGGTGCAAAAAACAAACAAACAAACAAAAATGTTTATCACATGAAACATTCTTACATATAAGGAGTTAAAATCAGGTTAGATTGGTTGGATACCAAATACAAGTTGAATTTATAAACAAACAACCATTATATAGGGCTCAAAGTAATCCATTCGGTGAATGAATTTAATGAGTGAGAAGGCTCAATTCAATTCCTATTTTAGGTACATGTCTCAAGCACGCGTCCATTTTCTTCTGCTGGATAGCTTTACATTTTGAGAAAATGTATCCTACTCACATTTTTCACTATCAACGACACATTGTCAGTTTTTGGTGTCCCCTGTTGTCTTTCTCCATATGCTTCAATTTTAAATGTACAACTTGAAAAGGCGACTAAATCTGTGTTTACCCTGGTATTCCGGAGAAGCATGTTCTAATGGAAAACTGATGCTCACACATTGCCTGCATCTGAAATGAATTGTTTTAAGATGGCTTTTTTACCTCCCAAATATGCAGTGAGGGATTTTACTTGTTGGCAGCTGACGACAGAGCTGAGGTCCTCCGCAAAGTGTTTCTTCAAATACTAAAAAAAACCTTAGCATAGGGCCACCAAATTTTGTTCCATCGCTTCTTGGCTTGTTCATCACCGTTCTTTGAAGTGCTCGAGAAGGGCGGGCTTAGTTGACATTTGAAATTTCCTTTTTGTTTGTGTGGAGAAAATAGAGTGGGCTAAAAACAAGAAGGGGAGCATCTTTTCGGCCAGTGCTGTGAAGCCTGGCGCTCACGGTGTGTGTTCATGTCCTCTCAGTCGTCTATCGTGCATCCGTTGCTGCAGCTCGTTCCGCAACTGCATGAGAGAAGAATGAAGAGATTCCAAGTGGACGTATGTACTACAAACTGCATGCTTGCTCGGCCACTCTCTCTGTGTGGGCAGCCCTTTCCCCTGACTCCCGCTTGTAACAGTTTATAAAATACTCTGCTTTGGATGAGCCTCATGCCGACAAGCCAGTGTCAGAGCATCTGTGTGCAGCGGTGTTGTCATTCTTGGAAAGAAGTGTTCCACTCCTCCCGTCCCCTGTGTCCTGTTGCTTCTAACTCCAGCAGCCCTGGACAGCTAGGAAAGCTGGGGTTACACGCCTTTCCATGACTGCTCAGTGAGAAAACCTGCTTGGTTTAAGAAAGGACACTGCGGGATGGCTAGTCCTTAGGTAGGAAGAGGAGAATCAGAAGAGAACAGTTTACTGCCCTTTCTTTGTGTCAGTGTTGGAAGACAGCTAGGAGGACACACTTTGTTCAAGTATTAAAATGCTGGTAAGTATGAGGAGTGTGTCAGAAGCTAAGTGCAGACATTTCATTTTTTCCACAGTTAACAAAAAATATGACCTAAACTCAGTACCTATGTGCAAGACAAATATAATTGAATTAATACCTTCTTAACTAGAAATTGTGGAGTTTTAAATTGTCATTTAAGAAGACATCTAATGCTTGGGAGGTTGAAAGCTTCTACTAGGCAATATTCTAAGCAATGCCTTACATTCTAACAACACAATTTTCAGTCTCATATTATCTCATTTGATTCTACTGGGGACTCTGTTAATACTTACATATATGCAAAATGGTTATCTCAAATTTACAGAGGGGAAAACAACTTAGAAGAAACTCAGGAGTTTCTCAAAATGAGACGACAGCTGAGAATTTAGCTCAGTGTTTCTGCCACCTGCCTCACAAGTGCAAGGTTTGATACCCGGTACAAAAAAAAAAGAAAAGAAAAGAAAAAAGAAAGAAAAAGAAACATTAGACGAGGAAAAAAAGATCACAGCACAGGTCAGTCATCTGACCTTCAGTCTATGCAAATATTTTTTTTCACTTTGACATTCTTTTTATAGTTTAATCTTGGATAGTTTTAGTTTATTGCTAAGCTTCAGACTACTATTAAAAATTGAATTCAGGTCAAACTTTTCCTTAACTTTAACACTGTATTTATCTTATTCTTCTTAAATTGCTACCCCAAAGCTTCAACTGTTTATAAAAGATGCAATACTGTTTAAGTAAATTTATTTTTATGATCACGATTTCTTCCTTAAATTCTTCACATTTTAAAACTAAGTTTGCATCAAGGACAGTATCTGCTGCCAACTTTAAACAGAAATGTAACAAATGTGATATTCCTACAAAATTTTTAAACTTCCAAAATGAATTTTTTAAAAATCAGTTGTTAGGGAAGGGAAAGAAGGGAAAGGAAAAATAAGAGAAATGGAAAAAATTGAAACAAAGTCTTTGTAAATAGGGAGGGGTAGAGGAGTTGAAGGAAGGGCAGGGGAGTGGGGAAAAAATAGAAACAAAGATATCTCATTTAAAGGTACCAGTTCCTAATGATAAATGTAAATGTATTTTATACCTAAATGTACAAATAAAAGAATTTAAGGGAAAAAAAAGTCAGTTGTTACAAAACTTTCTAGAAATAATGTATATCTTGTTTTGTTTGAAGGGGATTTATTTTGTTTTGGGGGTTTTTGTGTTTTTGTTTTGGGGGTTTTTGTGTTTTTGTTTTGTTCTTTTTGTTGTTTTTGTTTTGTTTTTTATATTGGAGATTGAATCCAAGGCCTTTCCACTAAGCTACATCTACAGACCCTTTTTACTTTTTATTTTGAAACAGAATTTACCTAAGTCACTAAATTGCCCAAGCTGGGTATCAACTTGTAATCGTCCTGCCTCAACTTCCCAGAGTACTGTGATTACTGGTGTGTGCCACCATACTCAGCCAATACATGCTTTTGCAAATTAGCTTTTTCTTCTTAAAGTATTTGCTTGGCTCATGAATAATATATAATTTCAATTTAAAGATCTACCTTCTCAAAATTCAGTATCAGGTGTAGTTTGACTACATTATTTCAATGGTATTATTTATATACTCCCAAATAATCACTCGATGTTGTGACAAGTTTAGTACAGTGTTGGAATTTTCTACTTTTAGTGAGAACCTCTATATTAGCAGACAACTAGCCAAAAATGTGAACTACAACTTAGTAGTATATCCTGTCAGACAAATGATAAACACTAAAAGTTTTTTTTTTTTTTTTTTTTTTTGGTCTGGTTATTGAACCCAGAGCCTCTCATTCACTAGGTAAGTACTGCATCAACAGTCTTTTTAAATTTTGAGACAAGGTCTTGTTAAGTTGTCCAGGCTGGCTTTGAACTTTGTATCCTCCTGCCTATTTTTTTAGCAAATCAAGATTCCTGGAAATCTATGAGAGAAAAGAATGTGAAAGCTAGGGTGGTGACACACACCTATAATCCCAGTACTTGGGAGGCTGACACAGGAAGATCAAACATTTGAGGATAACCCAGACAGTTTAGCAAGACCTTGCCTCAAAATTAAAAAAAAAAAAAAAAAAAAAAAAAAAAAAAAAAAAGGGGAAAAAATGGCCCTGAGTTCAATCCCTGGTATTAGGGGGGGAAAAAAAAAAAAAAAAAAAAAAAAAGGAAGGGAGGGAGAGACTATAAGAAGTGAATGAAAAAACAATAGAGTGTTAGCTGTGGTGGGACTGTCACCTAATTTTTTTAAAAAACACTTTTTTATAGTAGAGTATCTTGGATTCTTGAAGAGAATGTTTTTGTGAATCTTAGTACATTTACATTTTTCTTGAATTTTGTTTGCTATATATCTTTGAGTTTATCCCACATCTTTTTTGTCTCTACTTCTCACATTCTTCTATACATTAATCTCCATTGCTAGTGATAAGACTCTAGCAAACTTTGTATGTTTGGGCTTTGAAATTCTAAAATACTATGTACATTTTAATTTTCATTTTGTTCCATTTTTTTCCTTTTCTGTTTAATATGCTATACATGAGAACTTTTCTTATATAGATATCTAAACATATAGTTTCTGTGCTTAAAATTTTAAATACTAATTTTTAAAATCTTTAATAGTTTAGGGGTTATAGTACTGATGAGAATTAAATAAAATATTAATAATTTAAGATGTATTTGTTGTAAATCAAGAGTTTAAGAGGGTCAAGGATTTAGCTGAGTGGCACCATGCCTGCCTTGCAAATACAAGGTCCTGAGTTCGATCTCTGGTACTGAAAAAAAAAGAGTTTAAGAATTTAGATACTACAGATATTTCTTAGAGTTTAAGAATATGAGTGTATTTATATTATGAAATGAAAAAAGTCTTAGATGATAGATTTCATGATCATTATGATAGGCAATTATTAATAAAAATAGGAAGCTAAAAATAAATTTCATGGAAACCAAAAGTATAAAATATTCTTCCCATGAAGTTAAAAATGACATGTTTAAGTAAAGAAACACTACATGACATACCATTATGAATAATTGGTTTGTTCTTATTTGGTATTTTCTTGTTGTTACCTTCTATGAATATTTTAGAAAAATTTCTTCTAAAGTATCAGTGAATAAATATAATTTACCAAAGTTATCTCTCAATTACAATTTACATCACTACAGAAATATATATTTTTTGCTTTGACACAATTCTAGTTTAGTTTTATATGACATTTATCTTTTTTCTCATTTACCTTTATATTTATTTATTTATTTTTCTCATTGAGTTTATTTGTACTTTCTAGGTATACAGTACAGTTACATTCATCATTGGGATCTTGTACTTTTATATGACAGGTCTTGGTTCTCATTTTTTCCCCATACCCCTGCCCTCCCTTCACCTCCTCTACCCTTCCCTATTTATAAAAACTTTGTTTCCATTATTTTGTTTTCTCATATTTTTTCTTTTCCCTTATTTCTTTTCCCCTACTCTTCCCACTTCCCCTACACCTTTAGTCCTTTTCTTCCTATTTCACATTGTCAATTATACCATTTGGATCTTATTTACACTTTTAGTTTTTCACAACAGAGAAAGTATTTGATATTTATACACGTATGTCTTATTTATTTCACTTAAGAGTATAAGCTCAATATGCATCCATTTTCCTATCAATGACTCTAGTTTTTCATTCTTTATGGCTGAGTAGTATGCCATTTTATAGAAAAACTGCATCGTCCTTATCCAGTTTCCAGCTGATGGGCAACTGGGCTGTTTACAAGTTTTAGCTGTTACAAACAGTGCTGCTATAAACTGTGTTTGCATATATCACTGTGGTATGATTCTTTTAATTCTTTTGGAATGATACCCAGCAGAGGATAGCTGGGTGAAATGGAACTATTTATTGGTGAATACACTTACAACTGATAAAATTCCTGAAAAGAGAACCTGATGTACTGGTAAGAATAGCACTCTTAAATATAATATTTGGGTGAAACTGCTAGTTGTTGACATTTTTTAGGTTAAAATATAATGATTCTTTCCTGGTAGGAATTGTTCACTCAATTCTATGACTCTTTGCTTGTTTAGTGATAATAGTTGAAGGTAACTTAGAGCTTCACTATACTCTCAAGAAGAATTTGCACTGATTTTTGGTGTTGCTTGTAATACCTTCCTTTTCTCTTTCAGGAAGGGTTCCAAAGTCCTTTTCCAAGTAGAAGGAGAGGCTACTTTTTATTCAGGGTATGCATGTACTGTATTTTTTAATCAATTGATGCCAAACTTGAAAATTTTATTATGATTTAATTATGTTTCAATTAAGTCTTGAAGTTTATTTATAGATATTTGACATCCAGCATTAAAGCCTGACAAGTGCCCTGTCGTTACCCGACTGCTTCAATGCCATCACACCTTTGATCTCTTCTGATTCACTACTCATGTCTGTAAATTCCCCAAATGACATTTGTCACTCAATTTCCATGTACAGGAAATAAATATCTTAAGTGTTCTTGTTTCTTAAATTCCAAGAGATCATTTACTAACTTTTTGATTCTGTAGTTTAGAAGAGTTATGACTTTTTTTTTTTTTGGTACCAGGGATTGAACTCAGGTCCTTGCACTTGCGAGGCAGGCCACCAAACTGCTGAGCTAAATCCCCGGCCCAGAGTTATGACTATTTTTATGAATCCTTAAAAGAATCAACTACAGTGATAGCTTTTCTTTCCATTTATAGTCTTAAGTAGAAAAAAAAACTTTATTTCTCCTTGTAGCCTTAAGTAGAACAAACTTTGTGATTGCATTTCTCATTTTGTATGCCCAAATTGTAGACAAAATGTGTTTTCTTTCTAAGACAGCTATGCTTTATGAAATATTTGCATCCAATACATTTGCAGAAAATTTTAGTTTGCTCATTCAACAACTATTTACTATACTTCACTGGGTGCTGGCCAGGTATAAATGAATCGGAATAAAAGATAGGATTCAATTTCTACACCCTCCAAGTTCGTAGCCCAACAGAGGAAATACAAGTATAGTCAGTCTGATGCCCATGGAGGTTTGCTCCAGTACACCCCAAGGGCACCACAATCTGAGGGTGCTCAGGTCTCTTATGTAAAATGATGTATTTGCATATCATGTCCTCCTGTACATTGTAAATCATCTCTAGGTTACTTATAAGACCTAATAAAGTGTAAATAGCTATATAAATAGCTATTATACCATATTATTTGAGGAATGATGAAAAAAAATGAATCAGTATATGTTTACTACTGACACAATTTTTAAAATATTTTTGATAAAATTGGGTACAGAGGGATGACTGTACTATATTAAGTGCATCTTTCATCTGATGGCTGTGGAGGCTTCAAAAAACAGCACTTAAGGAATGGAGGAAATACAGAAAAGCTTTTATTGGCTGAATCCTGATGAATTAATAGGAATCAGTTGATAAATATTTAGCTGAAAATTTTCAACTTTTCTGTGTTGGGGTCGCTAAGAAGCACGTGGTGAGACTGGTGTTTTGGAAAATTAGTCTGACAGAAACTGGAGAATGGAGTGGATAAAGAACCCATATTGAAAAATGAAGAAGTCATACTGAAGCTCTGCAACTTTAGCTAGTTAATTTTGGTTGGTATCAAATTAAACTTGAGAATAATTCTTCTACATTTTTGAGACCATCAAGAAAATAAGCAAAGTCAAATAATGTCTCATTTATTGTGGTCCTCAGCAGCTTCAGCAGCACCTAAGAACCTATTAGAAATAACAGATTTGGGGAGTCTGCCTCAGACTTACTAACTTAGAAACACCAGCTACAGAGTTCAGCAGTCACATTTTCGAGTTGTCACAAACCCTCCAGGCAATTCTGATGTACATTCAAGAAACACCCCTCTGTACCCTTACAATGCATCAACATTCTATGAATGTTAGTTTTCAGCCTTAATTACATGGACTTATTTCTAATTCTTTTTTAGCCACGCAATGGGAGGTCAGCAGGTATCATTTAAAATGGTATGCATTTTTTAAAAATGATGTGTAATAGATGTATAAAAATGAGGTGACATTTGATTCCCAGTCCAACACAGCCTAAAAATTTCTATTCGTTTCAAATATGTACAAATTAGACTATGTTCAGTGTATTTTTATTTGATTGCATGAGTATACTAATATTCTGTATAAATACTACAGCTATAGGAGCAATGAAGGTGTCATATGATGAAAAACATCAACATTCTGTGGCCAGCTTTGCTTTGCCATAGTATCCCTCAGTCCATACTATGGTCATAAACATTATAACTGATTTTTTTTTTTGTACCGGGGTTCGAACTCAGGACCTTGCGCTTGTGAGGCAGGTGGCGGCACCACTGAGCTAAATCCTTGGCCCTTCTAATTGATTTTGAAGATGCTGACTTCGTCAGGATTTATTGTCCAAGCAGTGTATGTCAGGAACTGCATGCCTACTGTGCTAGCCAGTGTCCACCATGTGAACCACGACTTATAGACCAAGTGTACTTCTGTCTTCCGAGTGACTCATACTCAAATATTCTTTATAAAAGCATATGATCTAACAGTTCCAGAGCATTAAGAAAATGTGGACAGATATAAGGATATGACTTCTATTTTGCTGCTCACAGAGTTTCTATGCAGTGCTGAGCATAAAATACAAACTTAGTAGCCATCAGCTTTTAGGACTGACATATTTATTAAATGTGTGGGGCCTGTCTATAGCCACTGGCCCCATATGTTGATAAATGTGTTAACATTAATAACTCAATAGACTATAAATTTAAAATCAGTTGAAGTTCTGATTAATAAATTTATAGGAAAAATAAAACTCTATTCTACTAAATTTATATATCCTAAATTGAAATTCTATATTAATATATTTTGCACATATTTCACTCATTTTATTTACCTCAACACCACTTAAATATATTTGGCAAGGAATGTTAAAATTCTTGCTAGATGTGGCGCACACCTCTAATCCAGCACTAGGGAAGCTGAGGCAGAAAGAGCATGAATTTGAAGCCAGCCTGGACTATGTACTGAGACCTTGTCCAAAACAATAAGTTAAAATTCTTAATATTTTGTCAAAGAAACAAAACCAAATGTACTATTTCTAAATAAAGAAGATGTTAATACCAAAACACACAATAGCTAAAAAATAAGATAATGAAAACACTCCATAGTGACTCCTAGGAGACTTGTCAAAGCAGTGGAAATTTCAAGGCCTCAACCAAACAAGAAAGAGTTGTAACCTCAGCTACTCAGAAAGCTAAGGCAGGAGGATTTCAACTTTGAGGCCAGCCTGGGTAACATAGTGAGAACCTCATCTTAAAAAAGTAATAATCAATTAAGAATTTAACTTGAGTAGTCAAAACAGAGCAACAAGGTGACTCTGGAAAGTAGAAGGAAGAAAGTTATAAAAATAAAAGAAAAAATTAATAAGTTAAAAAGTAATAAAGTAGAAAACTGGTAAACAAAACAAAATCTGATGCATTTTTTGTTTGTTTTGGTTTTCTTGAGACAAGGTCTCATTATGTAATTCAGGCTGTCCTCGAACTCACTATGTATTTCAGGCTGGTCTTGAACTTATGGCAATCCTCCTGCCTCAGCCTCCCAAGTTTTGGAATTACAGGCATACACCACCATGCCTTGCTCAAAAATCTGATTCTTTACAAAAGATAAAATAAGCTAGAATATTTTGCCTAGCCTAATTTAGAAAAAAGTGTAAAACCAAAAATATATAAAAATACATATGAAAAGAAAGAAATTAAATGATATAGAAGAAAGGAAAATTTTAAAAAAGGGTACTTTGCACATCTCTGTGTTAAATTTGTAAACCTGGGCTCAGTGGAAGATTATATAGTAAGGCAGGTTCTACCAAATTGACCTCAGAAGAAAAAAAATTAATACTTAAGAGGAAAAAATGAAACTGTTATCAAGAAACCATCCCATTAGAAAATACTAAGCCAATAGATTTTGAATTTTTCAGATCAAAGAAGAAAAATCTCCAAATGTTTTATGAAATCAGCATAATATGAATACCAAAACCTAACAGAAAGAAGTTACCCATAAAATAAGATGTTTTAACTGGAGGTATACTGTATAAGGAAAGATATACAAAGAATAACTGCAGCATTTGAAACATTCATAAATCAGATTGGCATTAATGAACTTTAGGAAACCACCTTCATATGATTAAATACTGTAAAATATTGTCAAACAGTTGTGCTGAATACGCAGGTCATTAGAGACAGATAAAGTGATAAATGTAAAAAGTATACACACTGAAGGACATCTGGGAAATGTCTCAGTTACCAATGTTATAGTTTGATAAAATATTCATAGAAATGTCTATATAAAAATATATGTGAATATATGACATATGTGAATATTCACATACTCATTTTAACTTGAATCTAATTCAATTTTCCCCCTCTTTTTTACAGGATGCCAACTAATTTTCCACAGAAACAATGTGTGGAATACATAATGTACTGATGTTTTTTTTTTTTCTTCTCAAAAGCAATCTTCTCTAAGTTTACTCTGTTGAAAATTCCTGTGTTGTGAACATTCTCAGTAAAAGTTAGTTGAGACTGCAAATGTTTAATCTGTAGAAAATAAAAAGCATCTTAAAATAGTTTTTCTTAGTGTTATAATGATAAATAGTGTATAGTAAAGCTATAAATAATGATGTTCCCTGGATGTCTGTGACTATTGATTGTACTGACACACAGTCATTTGATGTTGGTTCAAGTCACTCATTATGTGACTGAATGAGCAATTGTTATCCCTTTTGGATTTTGTAGCTAATTCTTAGAACATGCACACCAACTAAAATTATATGACTTGAAGCTTTGTTCATAACTCATCCAATGGTCCAATATGTACTTTCTAATTTATATACCATAAAGTATGATATATATATATGTGTGTGTGTGTGTGTGTGTGTGTGTGTGTGTGTGTGTGTGTGTATACATCAGAAACTTTTTCTGCCAACTTGTAATATTCAGTTCATCTCGAATTAAGTTGTTTCACCCTGCAACATCTGAAAGGTAACCAGTGTTATTCATTATCAGAAAGAAAATAATCCTACTAGTAGAGAATCACAAACCTATTTGGAGAACTTTTTACATCAAATCAATGTTTAATGGAAATAAAATTAGGCCAAGTGGAGATTGAGTCTCTCTACCACTCCCACCCCACTGCCTTCCAATTTTCCTTGCTACTTTCCTTCTGCCCTCCCTCATGGATCCCACCTTCTCATGGAAGTTGCTGGCTGATTAGAGAGATGGATCTTTGAATAAGTGAGATTAGATTTGCACTTGCACATTCTTTCGATCATCTAACAAAGCTCTGTCTTGATTTTGACCAATGGTTATAGGTTACACTGTACCTTTCACTAGAAAGTTCTTGAACTTCACTTCTTGTCAACCTGAAGGAAGAACATAAGAAGCAGACCAGGACAAAAATGTCATTCTTTTAAAATGAATTGCCTTGATAAGGTAGGGTCTTGGGAGCAGGGTAGGCCTCTACTCTAAAGCCACGTATACATAGGGCAGCATTAGATGGTTCTGTGTATAGCAATTCAAGTAGCTTGGATTTTTTTACTCTCAAGATAAGAAAAGGCAATTGAATCTTAAGCACTAATTCCTAGGGCCTCTCAAAAATCCAGAAAGATAGGCTTCTTACACATTTAAAGGCTCCTAGAATAAAAAAAAACGAGGGGGAGGAGCAGAAATACCAACACATGGTCATGAAAATTGTGTTTCTAAGTATTTGCATTTAAAATATTAGTGTCTCATACAGAAGCACAGCAGAAAGCACAGGCTATTAGCTGTATAGGATTTATATTGAGTACTAACCAGGCACTACAGATTAAGAGGTCCAGTGTCAAACTCATTTAAAATTGTGTTGCTAAAAACATATTTTTTTGTTTGTTTTCCAAATCTCAGTGAGTGTGTCTCTAGGACCATGTATACAACCATGTGAATAATGCCAAGTGTTTTCTCATGGCTCCTAGCAGGTCTCAGTTAATGTCCTCTCCTTAACTTAAGCACCAAGGAACCCACCTGTCTAGATTTCCTATGTAAAGCAGCTTCTGTCTTGGAGGGCAGTGGGTTTTCACAGTGGGCTTGCAGAACCTACAGTCCCATTTCAGAATCTGATGAAAGCTCTGGTCCTTAACTCCAGAAAAATAGTAAATATATGAAACAAAGGTGTTGAAAAACTGGGGGCTAGGGTTTAAATATTCCCTAAAATCTAACCGAATATGGGCTATGGACTCCAGGTTAAGAGATCCGAAAGATTCTCCACTCCAGGAGTTTATCTTTTCACACATCAATGCCTGGGTCTCCACAAGGGCTTTATTTACTTTGCCAATAGAAAAACACTTCAAAAATAATTTATTACCGAATCCTTGAGGATTTGGGATTTGCAGGGTACCAGAGACTAGTTGATTTGGTGATAGTGCAGATAGAGGAAAAGGTATGAGGAATGCCAGCCTTAGCCCATCAGAAAATATAAAAGACACTACTTGAGACAGATGCTCAAGGACCTGGCAGCTTCATACCCACTACCATCATCTAGGCTGTGCCTTTGGGTTGCCTGGCAACAGAGCTCACCTGCACGCCTGCGTAAGAAGCTCCCCCTTCACCTCCCTGCGGGCGGGCGTTGGAAACCGCTAGGCCTAGCAGTGTTTTCCAGCCTGGAGGAGGCTTCGGGTCTCCATCCCGAGTACTTCGCCCGGGCTGGGGGGGATGATACAGGGGCGTGAGCGGCACAGAACACCATGCAGGTGAGGTCGCGGCCCACTGGGCGACACTGGAGCACAGGCGAGGTCCTTCCCTGGACCCCAGGCTGACCGACAGAAATGGAGAGGGTGGGCCACAGGGTTGGGTTCTAACATTTGTTCTTGGTAAGTGATAAGTTTTTGCTCGACTCTGTGGTTTTGTTAGAAATCCTCATTAGCTGTAGAAGAAAGCCATTATTTTCAAGTTCCAGACTTTGTCAAGTTGCTAGAGGAACTGGTCAGAGTTTAGTATAGCCTTTCACACCTGAATGCTAGTAATCCTACTGTTGCACTCTTTTTTTAACTTTATTTTTATTAGTACATGTTTGAAGTACATTATGATTCCATTCATCAAGAGGAGCTGGTACATGCACATAGCACACAGCTCTTTTTATGACATATTTCTGACTTAAGAATAGCAACATGAACTAAGTGTAATTCAATTTAATTGTCCTCTCCTACTATCTCAAAAAAGAAAGTCAGAAGAGAAATCTTAACTCTAGTAAATACACATGTCTCAAGGAAAACCAGTAGGAGTGTTTCCTACCTGATCAGAAAAATTTTATTAGAGTTTTGTTCATTCTTTAGAAGGGCCCATAGTCTGCAGCTTCCTTATTAAACCAGAATGCTGTACCTTTATTTTGTCTTTTCTTTTGCAGAGTAAAAGTCTCTTTCTGAGTTACATAGTTTTCCCGCCCCTCCTCTACATTAAAAATACTAAAATTTTTCTTGTTTTAGACAATTAATTTTGGTATTTGAATATTCTAATGTATTAGTATATACAATTAACTAGAACACTTTATATATAAATTACATTTAATTTTATTGTATAATCTTTTCATGTTAATAATAGAGTCATAGTAGGTATATTTTATACAGTGTGCAGGAACATTGCAGGTTTGTTCTGAATTCAGCTGAAAGGTAAGCTCGGTGTAGTGACACACAGCCCCTGTGACTCCAGCACTTGAGAGGCTAAGGCAGGAGGATTTCTGCAAGTTTGCGGCTGCCTGGGCTATATAGTGAGTTCAAGGCCAGACTGGAATACATAGGGAGACCCTGATTTAAAAACTAAAACCAAAAGGTAATTTAAGTGAGAATGAAAGCAGCAGCACATTACCTGTTCTTTGTTCCTTTGTTTATTTGTTGATTCATCTGCAGTCATTTATACAGCTCCTATGCTTGAGATATGGACCTGTTATAGAAGAACTTACTCTGAGGACATGAGAGATATAATTAGCCATGGTCAAATGCCATTATAGTTTGAGGAAATAGATTAGGGTGCCTATTTCTGTCAGATAAAACTTCATAATTTCTAAAAGTAAAGGGATTAGCAAAGAGCATTGACGGTTATATTAAGTCCTATTGCAACTAACTCCTGGATTTGCCAAATAAGAACTAAAGAAATTTAAATAAACAGGTCTGAGGATTTAGCTCAGTGGTTCTGCTGTCTGCCTCGCAAGCTCAAGGTCTGGAGTTCCATCCCCAGTACCAAAAACAAAAAAAGAAAGAAATTTAAATAAACCAATAAGAATATGGTGTTATGAATGTCAAGAAAGACCACTGTAGCAAGAAAAAACTAACCCCGACTCTGCTTAAGAGATCAAATGTTATCCGCTGGAATTAGCAATATGTAGCTTGTAGGTAACCTTCACAGAGCAATTTTGAAGGAGCTTTGGAGGCAGAAGCCAAAATTGGACTAGTTGAAAGTGAATGTGACAGTGAACTAGGACTCATGTCTTGAAGAATTTGGAAAAAGTTGTCTTGATGCTTAATGGATAGGAATAAAATCCCCAAAAACTTTTAGCTCACGACAGCTTTCACATGATTTGCAACCTGAATCCCAATGTTAAGTGATTCAGCAGACCTCAAACTCTGAATTTGGTATAAAATTGTCGTCTTCTGTAGTGCTCCCAAGTACCTAGAAGAAATAAATATAAAACCTCTCTTAGGTTGGTGGAAGACAACTCTAGCTTAGGTCTTAAGGGATTGCCATCAATAAGTTTTCAAGAACAAGGAACAGAAATCAAATTTAACCAAGCATGCAAGGAGAAAAGGCACCATAACCCTGAACCAAGAAAAATGGAACTGCAGTTGTGTGTGGTAGAACACTCCTCTAATACCAGTACTCCAGAGGCTAAGGCAGAAGGATTTCAAATCCAAGGCCAGCATGAATTACAAAGGGAGACCCTGTCTCAATAAAGAAACAAACAAAAGCAAGCAAGCAAACAACAAAAAAAAAAAGATTTGCAGAGGCCTCAGGTATTAGAATAGCCAGAATCAGGTTTTAAAGCAACTATGATTATCCTGTTAAAAAAAATACCTGTCTAAAATATCTACATAGATTAAAAGACTATAAAAAGTGGCCTCAAATTTGTGATAAAGGTGTTTCTATGTAGTAGCAGTGATAGTCTGGAAGCGAACTAAGAAAAAAAATCCATTATAGTAACATCAAAAGGAATAAAATACAGTACTCAGGAATAAACTTAACTAATAAGGCCCAAAACTTGTTTATACAAGACTATAAAAATTGCTAAAAGAAATATAAGAAGATATGAGTAATCCCAAACATATCCCATGTTTGTGGAACTTAAGACTTATTATTGTCAAAAAATCAATACTACCAACAGCAATACATACTTTCAGTGCAATACCTATCAAATCTAAACAACATTCATTTTTTTTCCATTAAATTCTTTGGTGTATTCAAAGCAAACAATACAGTTACATTTATCATTGGGATCTTGTACCTTTACATGATATGTCTTGGTTCTTGTTTTTTCTCTATACCTCTGCCCTCCCTTCACCCCCTCCACCCTTCCCTATTTACAAAGACTTTGTTTCCAGTTTTTCACATTTTTTTCTTTTCCCTTATTTCCTTTCCCCACCCCTTCCCACTTTCCCTTTAGCCATTTTCTTCTTATGTCACACTCCCAATTATACCATTTGAACCTTATTTACACTTTTAGTTTTTCATACCAGAGAAACTATTTGGTATTTGCTTAAGTGTGTCCTATTTATTTCACTGAAGAGTATAGCCTCAATGTGCATCTATTTAGATATAAATGTTTCTAGTTTCTCTTTCTTTATGGCTGAGTAGTACTCCATTTTATAGAAAAACCACATCTTCTTTATCCAGTTTCCAACTGATGGGCATTTGGGTTGAGTTTTAGCTATTACAAACTGTGCCACTATAAACATGGGTGCACATATATCACTGTGGTGTGATTCTTTTAATTCTTTTGGAAAGATACCCAGCAGAGGGATATTTGGGTCACATGGAATCTCTAATCCTAGTTCTTTGAGGTATCTCCATATTGATTTCCATAGTGGTTGCACCAGTCTGCACTGTCACCAACAATGGAGAAGGGATCCTTTCTCCTCACAGCCCCGCTAATATTTGTTATTAGTTGATTTCTTGATAGCAGCCATTCTTTGTGGGGTGAGGTGGAATCTCAGTGTTGTTTTCATCTGCATCTCTCAAATGACCAGTGTTGTTGAACTTTTTTCATATATTTATTTGCTGCTTTTACTTCTTTGTCTGAGAAACATCTGTTTGTTTCACATGTCAATTTTTTAATCAGATCTTTGTATTTGGGGGGAATGATTTTTTTGAGTTCTTTATATATTCTAGGTAGTAGTCTTTTTTCTGAGGAGAGAGTAGCTGGTAAAATTTTTTCCCACATTGTTGGTTGTCTCTTACCTCTATTGGTTATTTCTCTTGTACTGCAAAATCTTTTTAATACAATGAGATCCTAGTTATTGATTCTTTATGCAAGTTCTTGTGCTGCTGAGGAGTTGTTCATAAAATCTTTCCTATACCAATGTCTTTGAGAGTTCTACCTAATTTACTTTCCAGTAAGTTTAGTGTTTCTATTTTGATATTTAGATCTTTAGTCCAGTTGAATTTTAGTTTAGTGCATGGTGAAAGATAGGGATCTAGTTTTAATCTCTGGCAAGTTGAAATCCAGTTTTTCCAACACCATTTATTAAAGAGGCTATCATTCCTCTAGTGAGGATGATTGGCTCCTTTGTCAAGGATGAGATATCTGAGTATGTCTGGTGTTGTTTCTGCATCTTCTAATTTATTCCACTGATCCTTGGTTCTTTTTCTTTGCCAGTACCATGCTGTGGCTTTGTAGTATAGTGTCAACATGGAAATTGTGATACCCTCTGCAATGTCTCTCTTGCCTAGAATGGCTTTTGCTATTTGAGGTCTCTTCTGGTTCCAAATGAATTTTTTTATTGTTTTCTCAAGTTCTGTGAAATATACTATTGGGATTTCAATAGGGATTGCATTGAATCTATATAGAAGTTTTGGTAGTATGTACATTTTCACTATGTTGATTCTTCCTACCTAGGAGCAAGGTATGTCTTTCCATCTTTTTATAACCTCTTCGATCACTTTTTTCAAAGTGTTGTAGTTTTCAGTGTAGAGGTCTTTTGTCTCCTTTGTTAGACTGATTTCTAGATATTTCTTTTGTTTTTTTTTTTTGGATGTTATTGTGAAAGGAATTGTTTCTCTAATTTCTCTCTCACTGAGTCTGTTATTTGTGTACAAGAAGGCTATTGATTTCTGAGTATTGTCTTTGTATCCAGCTTCTCTGCTGAATCTGTCAATTAAGTCTAGAAGTCTTTTGGAAGAGTTTTTTGGATGTTCTATGTAGAGTATAATATCATCAGCAAATAGTGACAGTTTAACTTCTTCCTTTCCTATCTTTATTCCTTTTATTTATTTCTGTTGTCTAATTGCTGTGGCTAATGCTTCTAGAACTATATTGAACAGGAGTGGTGACAGTGGATATCCTTGTCTTGTTCCTGATTTTGGCATGAAGGTTTTTATTATTTGCCCATTAAGAATGATATTGGCTGTTGGTTTTTCATAGATAGTTTTTATCAGGTTGAGATAAAGACTATCTATTCCAATTTTCTGCAGCGTTTTTTTTTTATCATGTGTGTTGACTTTTGTCAAATGCTTTTTCTTCATCTGTTGAGATAATCATATGGTT